CCCCCCCCCGAAAAATCCCATTTCCTAGTTGATAAAACTTGCGATTATGCTCTCTCTACGTTCAGTGACACACACACTTCGTCAACAAGCGTGATTGATAGATGAGACAAGCGCTGAACACGTTTTCTTTGTGAAGTATTAGAAATCCTAACGTAGGAAATTGCTTATGAAATCATTACCCAGTCACCCCATTTGTTTTAATTTGCTCTAAGTGGATTTCCATATTCTCTTCAACTGACCAGATGTTCAGCATTCACTAAATCACTTTACTTCACTGGAAATAACTGTTGAACACTGTAGAATAAATCCAAACTAATGGTTCTGTCTAAAACACGAGAAGATGGCTCAGCGCAGCAGGATATTTTTTATTGCAGCATATGAAACAATGTCACAAACAGCATGCTGAGTGTGTCAAGTGCCCAAGCATGGTAGAGCATCTGGACTTTACTTCTCTAAGGCATTTGTGAAGAGTAGCAGACCCCTTTGGCTGCTTGCTCGGCTGGCATCTCTGAGGTCAGTGCCCCCGTCTGGGGCAAGTGTCTGAACCCACATGTCAACTGTATACCCCAGTCAAATTCACTAAGCTTTGAACGGAGCCGGGAAGCACACATGCTTCTTTGAGCCCAATTCAGCTTGGCATAAGGCACATAAAAGGAAATAAACACGCAACCAGAAAAAAGTAATAAGTCAAACATTTTATTTAGTCCATGAGAAATTTGTTTTCTTTTTTTTGTCTATTTTTCTCAGAAAAAGATACAAAACCAAACCTAATCTAGGTTCTGTGTAAACGTTCCCTTCACGACGTGAACATCTAAAAATAACTGTCAACCTGAAGAATATAAAGCTTTAAAGCATACTGGTTATAACTTTCGAAGTTCACATTACCTTTTATGAGTGTACCAACTGCCTGCTAACTCAGTTGGAAACACAATGAAATGTTATCCAACTTTATTACTTTACTAATTGCGGATCTCAAAAGAAAAATATTTGAATGGAAAACTATATTTCAGTAAAATCAGTTCTTGTAATTGTACTACAGGGTATTACTAAACGCAGTGGCTGCACAGATGCTGTTTTTATGATTACGTTTTACTTGCAAAGGGATCATTGTTTTAGAGACAGAATTAGAGCCCACCCAGCGTCAGTCCATTGCAACAGCTGGAAGACACACTGACAGAATGTGGATCCATACATTTGGTCGCTCACTGGGATTTTTACAGCAGATAAATATGTTTAGGCAAAATGTTTGTGTTTGGGATGACACATAGTGTATTCACCTTCATATTTTTTCACAAAACATCTGGTTGAGGTTGACTATGTGACATTTTCTCTCAGTGTCTTTAAAAATCCCAGAGCCAAGCTTCAAACCAACAGACATTAAGCAACATTTCCAATAATTCAAGGCCTGCTGTGTAAAATATCGTTTGTTGTTCATTTTAATGTAATTGTAATTATGGAATTATTACGTGTTTTTTATTCTACAGTTTCTATTTATCCAACCTCATTATCTTGTATATAAGGAGTATATGCAATGTATATAAGATAAATTAGACACAGTGTAACATTTAAACGTGCAATCAAGATGACATACATGTAACTTTACACATACATTAGAATGTATTGGAATGTGAATCAAATTTGCCCTCTTATGAACATGTTGTCATAATAGTGCTTTTTAAGTTATTTCTTTTTTTTTTTTTTTAGCAAAGAATTTATTTTTCTGAAAAGCAAGTGTCAATTATTGTGGCATGCTAAATTAAAATTACATATTTCTCTGCAGCTGGCTGGCTGGTTGTGGCCGGCAGAGCCCTGTCAGGAATGACAGCAGTAGAGATGCAGATTGATGGTTTCGTGTGACACTGACAGCTGCCGGTAGGCCAGTGCATACTTGCTTTGCAGCCATGCCAGCCAGGTGATCATAGTCAGGGATTGACAAGCGGCAGTGGGTTGGACAGGTTGGCTGTCTAGGTATGCATGTGGCTCCACAGCACAGCAGACATGGCAAACAATATTACCAGGGGAGATAGCTTATAGAGACACGGAGGTCAAAACCCAGGGGGAAAATATATATACTTCTGAGACATATTCTCTCTTTTCCTCACCTTAGCTTAGAAAACGAAGCCAGTTTTAGAGCACTGAAACTGACCTTCTTGTTTGATATATAATATGACGAACAAGGATAGACCTTTCAGAATTCAACAGTGATATATAAAACCTGTTTTTCCACAAACAAATAATATCTTCGAAAGACCAGCCATGCCTTCCTGGTCTAGTTATAGATTTGTGATTTGTGATGACTTATGAAAATGAAATCTCTTTCTACATTTGCATGTGGATGTAAGTGCAGTGTAATGCCAAACTTTGAACAAATTGTTTTTTCTTTGTCCTTGCATGTAAGCTGTCTCAATTTAGAGTGCAAAAAGTGCAAGCCATCATCTGAAACTTCTGCATATGGACCGGGGAATTCTGCTATTACCCTGAAAGACAGGAACAAGGGCACCAGGATTATCTGCTGTCATAGACCTATTCTAATAAATTACAGCATGTTAGATTGTGCTGTATCTCCAGTAAGAATCGGGGTCTGCCTCAAGGAGATGATGGCACAGAGATTATAGAGGACTGCGTTTCAGTGCTCTTGGCCCAAACAGAATAAACTGAAATATGTAGGGAAAAAAGGCATGCAAGGATTAAATACACTTTGTTGAAAAATGCCATTTTGCAAATGAAAGTAATACAATAAAATAGTCATCCAC